AAAATCGGTTGGTTAAAATTGAACTTACATGCATTTTTCTTTGCAAGACCCAACGGTACAATGGGCGAGCTCTTCACCCATATATATATTTAATCATTACTTGGATATAAACTGAATATAATTAGTAAAATATTAGACCTTGAATATCAACAGTACAACTACATAATTATTATCTTGCAATCAGTCAATAGGATTGTTGTCATATGAAAATATCACAAAATGTACTGCATTAATGAAAATAACAAAACAAAAAAAAACAAACTTGGAAATAGTTATATACTCATCATTTTGTTCACTTTGATTTTCAATTAAAAAATCTTTTACAATAGAAATGTTTTTATCACAAATCTATATGACTGTCTTCCAGCTAGAAATTTCATTTTAATGTGAATGATATATATAATAATTTTATTATTTTTCTATTAAAAATATTACAAATAATTATTTCTAGACATGCATTGGTTTTTTAACAATCATCACTATTCCACATATTTCAGGTGCAATCCGTCTTACTTGTCGTCGATAACGTAGGATGTTACTGATTTTGTTTCGAAGTTCAGGTAATGATAAAATACAAACAAAAGGTAATAGAAGCGGCATATAATAGCTAAGAAATAAAATATACTCAAATACTTCAGTTCCTTTATCATATGGTAGACCACACAAATATATAAAATTCATCAATGCTACCGGAAAAAAGAATACAGTAAAAAGTAATGATATAGATAATGATTGAATTGTCATTTTTCGATGTGATCGCCATCGAATTAATTGATTTACACGATGTTTTTGTCGTGAAACACGTACTATCAAAGCTATACTTGATATAACAATTGTTATAGCAGGTATAATTTCATGAGCTAACATTTCCCACATAAATATAGAATAAGTATCATAAAAACAAAGATAATAACATTGCATGCTAGAATCATCAAAATAATTTTGACAAGGTGGAAAAAAATTAGCAATACTATAATATATAATGCAATAAAGAAGAAGTAAGATTAGAGGAAGATAATGAATAAAAAAACGTTTCTTTTTTGTCATCATCCATCGACTATGAAAAATAAGAATATGTCTTTCAATAGTAGCCCAACAAAAGAGTATCATTTGAGTTACATAAAGTCCTGAATCAATAAAACTCCAAACAGCACAAAAAGCAGGAGATCTATGCCATATACCATCATGTCGATAATAATAAAGTATCCATGGATAAAGTGTTAGTTCAGAAATGAGACCAATAATAAGATCAACAAGAATAACATGATTATTGAGAGCATTACGTGATGGACGATGGAATAGAATATACGAAAGAACAACCAATGAACAAAGAATAGATGGTATAAGAAAAATTATATAAAGCCAAAATCCAACTGCTCTAGGTATGACATCGTTGACAACAGCTACGGAACTATTACTATCATTAAATGTGCTGTTATCGTCAGTCATTGGAGAAATGAACGCATTAGAATAAATCTAAATTTGAGAAAAAAAAACAACAAGTATAAATAAGATGTTTTTGAATGTTTAGCTTTTGAATAGATCAAACATTAGATTGTACGTAATCCGACATACTCAACAAATAGATAATCTGAAAATTTTTACTGTATAAACTAGCTTATATGATTATTAACAAGTAGGTTAAGATGCATACGTTAATTATGAAACGAGAAGAAGTTCTTAGAAAAATCTACAGATGAACCATCAGAAAATAAAAGAAACACAGAAACATTTTTCTCTATTGCAAAAAAAGTCTACTGACTTTTTCGCCTTGTTTATAAAGTAGTTCTCTGAATCAGTCAGCATTAAACATCTGTTCTTCAATTTCTATTTAACTAGCTTACTTTAGTTCTTCAAAACCTAAAAGAAAAACAAATAGTAGTCGACAGAACAAAATTGAAGAGAAAAACATACAACAACAAAAAATATTGTGCAGATATGAAGGAAAAAGCTTATAAAAAAAAAAGAATTGTCTTTTACATATCAAGAAGACTAGTGAACGCAATAAATTAAAAATAAGCCATAAAAAATAATCAATGAATTTGTTTTAAGATAGTTTATACGAATTCGTGTACTAAGTTCTTACTTCTTTAAAAATATATGGTTCAAGAATATCAGGTACCGGAAATGCAAAATTAAAATAGAAGGGTTTGTTTTCCTAATTCACCATATGTAGTTAGATAGAACGTGACAAACTGATTATGAATATATGTGCTTTCAATATTTTAGAATCATTTTCTTACGAGAAAATTTTCACTCTTTTCATATGAGCAACTTTTTCTAAAACAAGCAAGTCTATTTCCACGATAACCGACGTATCTTCAATCTTTTCATTTCTTTTAAAGTGTTTGTTATCAAATTTAGCGTGAAATATTGAATCTAACAAACTCATTTAAAATGAGTTTTTTGGATTCAGTATTTTACGGTAGATCTGAAACAGACAATCTTGAAATTTAAAGAAAATAAAAATATTGAAAATTTATTGTATAACACGGAAATTGACTTACTTTTTAAGAAAAAAGTAGTCNAGATTAGTTGGAAATAGAAATAAATAGACAAACAGCCTTAATACTCCACGAACACAACGAGCATACTTATGACTTAGTTGTGTAAATTTTTGGTTCTTTCATAAAATAATCACATATCCTTGTCGACAGGATATGGTAACCTGCTTTCGATTCAGTGGCCATAGATGGAATCTTTTCTGACTTTTCTATGAAGCACATTAATGAATCAATTTAATCCTATGAGAAGATTTACTGAAATATAAGGGATGGTGCGTAAAGAATGGATCACTTTTGTTGTGTGTTATTGAGGGTCATACAATAAATATTATGAGATCAGATGAAAAATATAGAAAATTTCCTAAACTATATAATCACTTACATTATTTTAAATATGTATTCACTACGACGTGATAGCTAGCGAATAACTCGCTTAATCCAACATTTAATACTATTCCTTATGGTCACCTTAAAAATGAATTGGTTTTTTTTCTAACAAAATCCATTCAATTGAAGTTCTTTTAGTCATATTTTTGAGTAGATTCAATTTTATAGATAACTCCGTTTTGCAACATTGTTTCTTTTGCTCAATATTCGAGTTGAGAAATAATATATCTTTGAAAGCTTTCTATTAGACAATGCAGAATTTGATTCTTTACAAAACTCTATGCACGTTTGTCTGAAACAACAGGATACAAGCTTTTTATATGCTATATTCCGTGATCCAGTAAATGGAATTAACTTCTTCTATATTGTTTCTCTTATGTTTTTTTTCAACGTTTTTCCTAAGTTATGAACAGCCATGCAACAAACTTCGTACTTGTGATTAGAAATGTGCAAAGTATATGATACGAAAAAAGCTTACTCTGCATATCTCTACTTCTTACATACATTTTTTAGTTCAGATACAGACATTCATTGAAATGAATCTTTGACATAGTCGAATTCAATGCAATAGAATCATCTCTTTCATTCTAGCATTGCGAAATAACAAAGTGTTTTTACTTCTTTTCTACATACAGGCACTTTCCTATCTGAATCTTGCTTGAAATCAAATAGGAGACGGTGTGTAATATTTCGCTCAAGGTGTATGTGACAAGGTATGGATGTGGGCGTTGAAATTTGTGTGCGGTAATTCCCGTCATCTATTTAATGAACTAAATCCACACCATCTATGGCGATAAGAAGTGCTCGAAGCATACTATCGAATACCGCCTATAAAAATATTTATCAGGTGGTTCGTTTTTATCGAAAAGTCAGAAAAGATTCCATCTATGGCCACTGAATCGAAAGCAGGTTACCATATCCTGTCGACAAGGATATGTGATTATTTTATGAAAGAACCAAAAATTTACACAACTAAGTCATAAGTATGCTCGTTGTGTTCGTGGAGTATTAAGGCTGTTTGTCTATTTATTTCTATTTCCAACTAATCTTACAAAGAGAATATGAAATTATTAAAAAAGCATCCCAAGTTATAGCATAATCTGTTTTTTTTGAATTATATGTCAGTTCAGACCAAAGATGAAATGTAATCAATGATAGTAATATACAAAAACGCGATCACTAGGTCGAATTCGATATTGTTCGGCCGCGATGCCGATGAAGTATGCAATGCATTGCGATGTGTATCACTGATCATCCGGTTAGAGATCGTATCGTTTGTGGTTTTTTCGTTGATGGCAACTGAGAGATGAACGGTATCAATTGAAACGAATGGCGGTAAAGCAACTACTGGTAATCCGCGTAGATCATCAAGTTTTCCGAATTTTAAACAAACTTCCAGAAAACAATTTCCACTAATGGTTCCCATAGCATAGGCACTAAATCCATCTGGACATGCTTGAATGCGTGATCTGGTAGCTGTATTTCCATATTGACATGAATAGATGCCACCGTATTGAGGCAATGCATTCGTACTTGATGTGAGTCTTTCACCCAAACATACTTTGATACCGTCGATATCGTACGCCTCTGACAAACCTGGTGAACATCTATAATCATTGGTAACTGGATTGACTTTTTTCGTTGTGAATGAACCACCAAATACATAAGTCGACCGGATGTCGACGGTGTCATACAACCCTAATTGTTGACTGACATTTCGTTCACATCCATAGAGGTTGAGCTCGCGCCGCCCTTGTCCTACATAAATATTGTTGCAGCATTTTTTCAACCAAAGAAAACCACATGCTCGACAATTTTGTTCATACAACGATTCATACTCGATTGAGGTGTGTAAGAGGTACTTATTGAACTCGTATTTGCATTGATCATTACCTGTATAATAATTTTTCATTTGCAGGCTGGGACATTTTCTAAATAATGCGTAAACTCAAGCTTTTTTTGCTGTTCATTTTTGTTCACGTATCACTATCGAGAAAACTCTTGAATATCATCAGACAGAACAATTTATGGTCTTTTCTATCACCGAAATGAAAACATTTCTAGAAACTAGCTAGTCAATTGACAAAAGGTTTGGCATCAAGTGCTGACTTACCGTGGCATACGGGAATCTTCCGAGCAAGTGCGAATAAAGCCTCCGAATTGTGTCGTCTGTTGAACTGAAATACAGGAGCCATCATCGAAATTGGCAATCCAATTGAACGATGCTGAATTTCGATTCATACATCCTCGAATTGTATTCATTTCCACGTAGGTATTGACTGCGCCATTAATTTCTTCTCGAACTTTGCTCAATGCCATGTTAGTCAATTCTGGAAGTTTGTCTGCTTGAATAAAATATGTAAGATTTTCAATGGCTCGTCGAATGATAGCTGGATTTTTCTTCACCGATGCTTGCCATGCTTCCATATGACCGTCTAAGATAAAGATGTCGCCACCTTTGGAACTTAATATTTTTCGATTGATCTTTGTTGTATATTGATTAATTGTGGTTTGATTATATATTGAACCTGAACCATAATTTGCTGAAAGACCAAAAGAGCCCAAAAAGGATGCTTCTGCTGCAGCTCTGTACATTCGTTTTTCTGATGTGTTGGAAGAGTAATTCGATTGGGATATGAAATCTTCTTCGATGATTGATCCACCCAAATATAAACGACTTGTATAATGTGTTCCGTATTTTTTGACAAAAAGTTGAGCAAAATACGTTGCCAAAAGACTTTCTTTGTTTGCTTGATGTTCGGCTATTTCAATCAGATCTTTTTTAACTTGTGGATGTAAAGGACATGCGGACAGAAGAATGACGTCGACCATGAGATAGTCAATTTGATTTCGTAGTGTGATCGTCTTCTCTTGTCCCTGTTCTTTTTTTGTCGTTTGATATTCTTTCGAATAGGAGCCACCGATTTTGAAGCCTCCGAAACCTGCGCTACCTCCTATCATTAAATTTGACGAGTAGTCACTCGTACGTGAATCAAATGTATCGATTTCTGTTGATCCCATTTCAATTTTATTTTCGTGTAGAGGAATCATTTCAATACATGATTGAAACATATCAGAGTCTTTTAAATTTGATACTTCATAGATGGGTGCCAAATCGATGAATCGTAAATGATCCCAACCAAATCCAGGATAAATATCGATGTTCGGTAATTTCTCAGCATTGCATCTGAACCATAGTAATAACAAAACCATGTAAGACTCATTCATTTTCGTCTGATAATTGACGTCAATCTATCGTCAAGATAAATTTGTGATATCTGAAAAATGAAATTCATCAATATCGATTACACTTCACGAGCTACTTGACAGAGAATTGATCAAACTGAGTTTGCTTTCGATAAACACTATACATCCAAAATAGTCTCTAGTAGCTCTGATACACATTTCTTACGCTGCGTCTCACTTGTCGAATTATAAAATGATACATGAAATTAATACAACTTACAGTGCCGATCAACGCTAGCTTCTCTGGCAAATACTTATATATATATATCTAAACCAATAATTTGCGGTCAATATCTCATGTTTCAACTTGTATACGTAAAGTAATTATTACAATCTAATAACACTACTCTGCGGCTTTATCGATCGGTGTCCGATTTCGACATATACTTTGGAGAAGTTATGAAGACAACAGAGAAAGAGAGAGAGAGAGAGAGAAACAGTAGCAACTTGTGTTTCTTCTAGAAAATATTGATCTGTTGGTATCGATAAGTGGCTGTGTGTCGATGTAAACCCACACTCACATCCTTCTCTTGGAGAACACACAGAATCAAAATTTCATCTTCGTAAAAGGGATATCAATGATAGTAGGGAGAAAAATATGAGTAGATTTGCAGTTTACATGTTTATCGTCAATAAATGAAAGCTAGAAAAAAAATCGAGCATAATAGACCAATTTGTCTCGTGCACGCTATTTTGTATGAAGTATCTCTGTAAGTCAATTGGATCACATTACATGTTGAGCCTTTACAATAAGTCTGAATTTTAGAAAAAAAGAGTTTTTTTCATTAAGTTGCAATTCGATTAGAAGTTGCATAAAAAATCTATCATATTTTATTTAGGAATGCGGGATTATTTTCTCGTTGGAGATAAAACAGTTTGCCAGAGAGTTTCAATCGTTCCTAGACCACCAATTCACTGAAACCTTGAAAATTTGTGTTTTTGAAATGCAAGGAGTTCTTTCAATTTTACTCAGTCATTATCTTGGTCGAAAAATAACGACAATGATAGGATGCTATATTTGTACACTTCTACTCAAAATTATTAACATGCAAGTGGGAGATAGCTTATTTTTTTTTATCAATTTTGAATTAAGAAATCTGTTTAATTAAGCAAGTAAAAAAAGTTGCTTATGCAAAAAGACATGAAATTTTAAGTATTTATAACTTAAGTCTATAGGTAGAACATAGCTGTTAAAAGAAGGCGATTCGTACATTGTTTTTTCCAATTATTTTGATTAAATTTTTTTTTTATTTAAAGTTGAAACAAAATAAAAAAAGATCTAATTTTAGCTGTGTTTCTCCTCTGGTTTCTCACGCATATCAAGGTTCGAGCACAAAACCACAATTTTTTCATTGCTCATGTTAAATAACATAAAGTTACCGCAGAGTTAAAGTCAGGCAAATAAAGTAAGTTGGAACTCTTCTATGAATTATTTCAAATTGAGATGGTATAACTATATTTAAAAGAAATTTAAATCAATTACAATATTAATATACTATTTTGGTTTTACACAGAAAAACCGATTGAAATTAGTTATTGCATTGAATTCGATCGAAAAAGTTCGATATTTATTCGATTCTCGTGACACGATTGCTTTCGACAACAACCATTGATTTATCGGTTGAGATTTACTGATATCAACAAATTGGAAAGAATAAATTTCGAGGCCGTATCTTGTTGTCGCTTCTCGTAATATATCCAGTCACTTTTGTTTTTTAATACCTATTTAAGTATTCCTATAAAAATTTCATGATTTTAGTAGTTTTAATATAAGGATTTAGCAATATTTTTATATCTTTTTTGCTTTCATTTTTTGATATATGGACAAACAACTTACTTGGACAGAGTAGTCTATATTTGTGTATAGCAAAAAGATCTCTTATAATTTTTAAGTCTAAAAATAGTTGTTCTACAAATAATTGATGTCTCTCGGTCGATGTGTGTCTCGTTAAAACATTTTCAATTCATTTGTTAATTTCGTCGAACGATGTTAAACTTGAAATCGCATAAAAAAATATCATTATAATAGTTTTTAATAAGCAATCAATGGTTTAATTTTATTATTATCATTATTGGACAACTACAATCTAACAATGAGAGTGAAGGAACAATTTTTATTTTACAAACATTGCGTTCTTGTAGAGTAGCTATTGTGGTCTATGTTAAGGGACCAATAACTCTTGTTTGCCGTCGGAAATGTAACTGTATAGTAATATTCATTTGCCGTTCAGTTACTGATAAAATATAAACAGAAGATTACAAGTAGTATTAAAAAGCAGTCGAAATAATTTGCATATACCGAAAGTGTTTCATGTATACAACGAGAAATTTTAAATTATTGTAGATGATAATTTATGATTTTATCAATTTTTTTACTATAAGACAGAAATAATTATTTATAGAAAGCTATAGTTACATTTCTAGTTATTGTCTTTATTGCTAATGTATCAGGAACAATCCGTCTTAGTTGTCATCCGCAATATACGATATTAATGAATTTGTTTCGAAGTTCAGTTAATGATAAGAGACAAACAAAAGGCAATAGAAGTATCATATAGTAACCAAAATAATTTGCACAATCGTCAAGATTAGCATCTCTATAATATGATGGATCAAAAAGGATGATAATATGCACTATTTTCAGTGGAAAAGAAAATGTCAAATAAAGAAATGAAATAGATAACATTTGAACTGCCATCTTTCGATGCTTGCGCCATTGAATTGTTCGATGCATACGATATTTTTGCCATAGAACACGTACAAGCAAAGCAATAGTGAACACAACAATGATGAAATTTGGTAATATTTGATGAAATATAGTTTGCCATAAATAGATAACTGTACTATCGTAAAAAACAAAAGTGAAGGCATACATAAAAATCACCTGTGTAGTTTTCACAAAATGGGAAAAAAGTGACAACAGTATAGAAAATAAGACAATAGAGAAGAAGTAAAACAAGAGGTAGATACTGAACAATAAGGCGTCGTTTTTTTTGTTGATATCAATACATCATGAAAGATAGAAACATGTCTTTCAATGGTAGCCCAAAAAAATGATTTTATTTGTCAAATACAGTCCCCAATCGATAAATTCCCAGATTTCACAAAAGAAAAGTGATCTTTCCCATGTACCTTTACATTGATAATAATACAGCATCCACGGATAATTTGTCATCTGACAAATCAAACCAATAATAACAACAACAATAATAATATGATTAGTAATTATTTGACGTAGAGCTTGATTAAACATAAGATAATATAGAACAAATAATGAGCAAATAATCGATGGAATGAGAAATACCAAAAGAAGTCAAAATTTAATTGCATTAGATATCAGCAGATAGTCATCAGCTATTTTGGCTGATGACATATCATCGTCAAAAGTACTATTTTCACTAAACATTTTACAAAAACAAGTAAAGTTTCCATAAATATGATTACAAACTAAGATGAGAAATAAATATTAATCTAAATCATGGTTTCTCCCACATATTCTAACGTGCCATTTCATTTTGCTAATAATTAAAGATGATCGTATATCTCTTCTTCGACACTTCTTCAAGAAAAGAAAAACAAGTTTCTCATATATGAATAAAAGAAAATGATGAAATAAAAATACTATGAATTTAATGATTAGACGGATGACAGCAAGTTTTGATATTATATTCTTTGCATTTAAAATATGTTCAAGTGGACATAAAAGAAAGCAAAATATCTTGTTACTATTATGACGAGTGAAGAATTTCTTTGACATTGTGTCTTCGACATCGTGCTATATGAATGTACCCATTGTTGTTAATTTTTAATGGACACACATCTTTTTATTTTATCGTATTATTGAAAATATTCATACGTTATATTTATTTCTAAATGAATTTTCTATATGAAATGATTTATCACAGTATATAGTTTGCTTAATACAAAAGACCGTACTTGGTTAAAGTTGAGTGGAAAATTTCTCGAAAACAAAACAATCAAACTTATTCATTCAGATTTTCTTTTCTGGATTTTATATGTTCTATATTGATAGATATCATTTGTTTTGAATAATGACCAAAATAAATGCTGATCATTAGTCAAAAATGAGCATTTTTTTCGCAACAATAGAGGAAAAGGGTCTTCGAATCTTTTATCTCATTTCGAAAACTGCTATATCATCATAGTAGTATTATCGAAAGTTTAAATGCAGTCGGACATTATTAGGTCATCTTCTTTTGTTGTCAAAGTCGTAAGAACTATCATTTTCTATAGGTTTGAAAAAAGTCGCTGAGTCAGAGACCAGAATTCCGAGTATACGAGTTTTTTGAATAGCTATAATGGAATGGATCATTGTGGATGTGGGCAAAACAACACGAAAATCACCCAAAACCACACTCACCCTCAGTCAAATCAATTAACCGACGATCCGTAAAAAATTCAATCATTTATTGACACGAACGGAAGACAAAAAAATTCAGCATGAACGTACTACCCAAAAATAAAAACTCATCTAAAAACTTTCATTATTTCATTTTTCATGTTTCAACATTTCTCGTGCTGAAAAATGAATTTCTTTTCGCTCTATTAAATTATGATCACTTAAAAAATGTGAACACCAACTCTCATTGTATTTTTCTCACAGAATATGTATGACTTCATTTCGTTCGAGATGACAACCCATAAAACGTTTAGATTCCCATCTGCAAACATTAGCGTCGAAAAAAATCAATATTTTTCAAAATAAATGAAAACAAGATCGAAACTCTGTCACCGCATGCTCAACACAACACTGCCCAATGAATTTACTATTGCGTACGTTCTTAAACATATTCCAGCAATGTGAATAGGATTGCTTCGACTCTTTAATGCAGACAGTTCCTGTAACTCGCTAAGATCTTTAGATGGGTCGAAACACATTGTGGTAGCTCCGGCGCATTCATACCCGAGATAATATGACACAATATTCTTTTGCAGCATGAATGATA